TACACATTTCACTGGAAAAACTGGAGTTAATGCCTAACTTCAGATTTTTCACGCACCATTGACTCCTGTTAAAATTTGGAATAGTGCATTATCTCCATTTAAATAGGGTTAAAGAACAAAAATCACCATGAAAATTATTTAATATGTTTTTTAATCATATGTTTAGTATATTTGCCCAAAAAATTTACTAGAATTCATTTCCAGTACAAAAGGCTAACGACAAACGCGTTTTGCTCAATAACTCAAAACTAGGATTTTGGAGTTAATGCCTTTTTCCAAATCACGGCAGTATACATACTGTACAACTACCAACAAATTTTCAATAAATAACATTACGTAAATCAATTCCCACAAATATTTAACAAACTCAAAAACATAACATAAAACATAAAACTCTAACACATCAACACCATTAGAAATACAACTTACTACACTAGTATGACTTTTTTCAGTTTTAAATATTTTCTATTTTTTTTGACAGAATGGAAATGCACTTGTTAACAGATGAGGACAAACAATTAACTTGCAGTAAATATGTCTTCAACACATTATACTTAGATGTAGATGCATTCACTGACCTTGTGCCAGTTCAATGCAACATCAGTACAACTGGAAATAACATTAGATTTGTAAACACCTATCTATATATACATTATATATACATTAATATAACATTTATATATATATATAAATATATAGATGTATATATATATAATTTGGACAAGATCAATAAATGAAATATATTACTTTCTAGAGGTAGTGAACATGTATTACCTGCATTTCGCCTGTACAGTAACTAGTAATATGTACACTTCCTCATTATTTCTTTTAAATAAACGCTATTACACTTAGATGTAGATATATTACTTTCTAGAAGTAGTGAACATGTATTACCTGCATTTCGTCTGTACAGTAATAATTACAATATATCACTTCCTAGTACTGTATTACTAAACATGTACTATGACACATGTATACACTATGTATACTTGCATAATATCTTTTTAAATATATACATTGGTAGTTTCTTACAAAGTGGCTTTACATTTTGATTATAACGCTTCCTAGTAGTACTAAACATGTACAATTAGACTAAACACTAGTAAGTAGTATGTGTACGTTCCCAATAACACACACATACATATATGTGTATGTATGTACAGTACCATCCAGAAAACATTAGCCCTCCGCACGCATTTTTTCCGCATATGAAAATCGTGTGACACGCAGTTAATTAGCCATACGCAGTCAACCGTTACGGCATTGAGTAATTCATGGTTTCAACGAACTGCCTAATGATTTTTACGTTCAACAAATTGGTCTGTGTTGTTTATCAGCCAGACAAAGGACAGAGCCTGTCTTTATTTCGAAACAATGCAACTGGGAATAAACTTGATACTTTTGTAGGCCTACGTCATTGTAGAAATTCAAGAAGATCAAGGTGGTAAAATCTTGTATCTCTTTTATTAGTCGATCAATTAATGGTTGTGAATATTATGAGTTTGAAACCAAATATAATGCTGTAACTTGTGTCCTGTGTGTTATTTTGTTACGATACAATAATAATAGTTGTTGATAAAGGCAACGATTCACGATGTCGTCTGTTTAACAACATAATTAATGACAAACAGTTTTTTTTTATTCACTGAAATTCTTAACAAAATCGACTGTTGTGTATTATTGGCCATATCGTAGTAAGAGTTTAAGAGCGTGAGAGAATAAAGATTCCTTCTTAATGAACAGTATTAAGAGTTTAAGAGCGTGAGAAAAGAAAGATTCCTTCTTAAGGAACACGTATACAATGTGCCCGCTGTAATCGTCGTGCTGGAAGCGAAGCCAAGTTTGTACGAAGTTTGATTATTGATTCGTCTGAAGATGCTAAATACGTAAGTCTTTAATATTTATTGACAGGTAGTATGAAACACACATCATCAGTTTTAAGAGTTTAAGAGCGTGAGAAAAGAAAGATTCCTTCTTAAGGAACACGTATACAATGTGCCCGCTGTAATCGTCGTGCTGGAAGCGAAGCCAAGTTTGTACGAAGTTTGATTATTGATTCGTCTGAAGATGCTAAAAATCGTAAGTCTTTAATATTTATTGACAGGTAGTATGAAACACACATCATCAGTTTCCAATTTTATAATATATATATATTTATTTATAATCTTTGAGATGATCACACTGTTGACTATCTTATTGTGAGACAATCAAATTGTGGAATAAAATGGCATGATTAAGGCTTAAATTACGATTTTAAAAAGATATACACTGTTATGAAAATAAAGTTTATGTTTAGTATTAAATGGTTAATTAATAATGATTGAACATTTTATTATTTGTTAGCATCACCATATTATATTATTTTTATTGTTGTTTTTATTTAGCCAGATTTTGTATTCTAAAGTTATTATGTATCCCGGAGTGTAGGCATGTCGCTTACTTTCAACCGTCTGTCTGGAAGGTAGCCGATTAAAAGCATATGTTTTGCTGTGAAGCGCATTCGATTAATTGAGGACTCTACCAAAAATTTATGGGGGAATGAATTTCGTAAAGTAAATTCAATATAATAATTTTCCAGTGGTCCCAAGTCTCCCGGATCTCCCTGGAGTCTCCCGGATATTGTTATGGTCTCTCGCAAGCAAGCAAAAATCTCCCGGAAATTTACTTATCTCCCAAGAAATCTCACGTAGTTCTTGTTTTTATGAAGGCCTATGGTATTTATCAGTAATAAAAGTACAAACACGGTTAAAAAATATTCTGGTCATAGCTTTTATTTCAAAACTACAAAATAAATACAGTACTGTATGTTTAACAAGTTTAAAAACTTCATTTCATTTTTCAGTTGATTACTGAAGCGACCTTGCTGATAGCAGACGTTCCCAGTTCAATTGTAGCCGTAACCAACCTTCAATAAAGAAAATACATCGGTTATTCTGACCTTAATTATTTTATTGATACATTAATAGCCTATATACCGTATATTTTGTTTTCCGATCCTACAATATAGGTAATAAAGAGTAACACTGTAAATAAATTGAAACATACTTCGATAGGAATTGTTAGGTGGTTATACGAGCCTATTTATACCTCCGAAGTAAGTTACAGTTCCGAAAAAATATATGTATATCACAGTATTCTTTAAATTTTATAATCTGCACTAACGAATATTAGCGAAATAACTTTACATCTCAAAACTAACTCGCTCATTGTTCGCCTGACAATAGAGAGATCGGGCGTGCCGCGAATTACGTAATACTTTACCATCAACTGTTTTTAACTCGCTGCCCAACGTGGACCGCACTTATACCGCGAGTTCCGACTTTTAACAGGAAGTAGATGCTAAACAATTACGTAATGGACCACTCGCTGAATACGGGCACTCAAATTTTCCACGATTATTTTCCGCGGAAATAACGCAGGCAAAGGTAGATAATATCTGGATGGTACTGTATATGTATCTGTATATGTGTGTATTTGTATGTGTATATGTATGTGTATACATGTTTATGACACTTGTACAGTATTAGGTAGTATGAATACTTGACTAGTAATTATTTAGGTATATACATTACTAAATTCAAACAAAAAAAGTAGCTTTAAATATAACGCTTTCTAAAACTAAACATGTACTATTATACTAAACAGTATTAGGTAGTATGAAATAAATACATTAGTTTGTTTAAACATATCGGCTTCCATTCTTCTTTCACAACTACTGTATGTCCTCTGATGAGATGTGTGAAAAGTGTGTGTAAAGTCGTATGCACATTCTTAGCAGCATTTCTAAATCTCATCAAATGGTTACATTCCAATACCTTTACATCATGGGATTGCATAGACCAACAGTTCCTCAACCAGGTTCGCTGATTAATATGTATTCTTGCATTGCTACAAGTTGGTAAAAATTCATTATAATGCGTCTTTGGATAAATATATTTCTTCATTAAAGGACCACAATGAAATACTTATATGCAACAAATTCCATTCACTCGCCAAACTGTCTACTTATATTATAAACCTATACGCAAATATCATCATAATTACAGTAGAAAATAATTATTTCAAAGAGTTACAAACACAACAAACCTTACAACAACCATATTTCTTTTAATATCACTGTACACGACATCACACCTTTCCTAACTGTTAAGTGAACATAACAAAAAAGGTCTATGATGATGCTTACAACTACTATAACTTTGAACGTTTTTCTTTGCTCAATACACATAACAACACTCCACACAACCTCCACCCACCGACAGCATTTAAACATTGCCAGCTACTGTCAAGTGGGCTATTGCATTATTGATGCTCTCGTATTTATCATTTAGTGAAGAAATGATATGAATACTTTGTCAATAATCTCAAATAGTATATATAGCCCTAGGCCTATTAGCAGAGTATGTGTTTTCACAGTCACAGTAAATTGTTTGCTGATGAAAATCAAAATACCGAATCCTGTTAGGCCAAATCCCTAGGCCTATGTACATTCCCTCAAATTACCATCACAGTTCAGGCTTAGCCTAGAACATTGTTTTCTATGTCAGTTTCTAAGTCTCTTTATTATTCAACATGGCTGTAACAATTACTGTAAGAATGCAGTTTCTCAGCATTTCAAAACATTATATTTTCAACTTGCAAAACTCAAAACTCTTAACAAAACAACCCCCGGTAAGTTTTACATCAAAATGTGCAGAAATTCATTGGCTCTCCTATACAGTAGACGCTGTATATAGATTAGTGTTAATACAACCACTCTATGCGAAGGTGGCAATGGCTGTACAGTGAGCCTATTCGCACTTATGCGAAACTGGCACACACACTAACAGGGCAGCGTAAGGGTTAAACAAATTAATTGAAATGGATAGAATTAATTTATGTAAAGATTAGATAAATTTACGTAGGAAAAATTTGATATATGGGATAAATAAATTCAAGGGTTGTACTGTATGAACAAATAAATGTAGGAATAAATGGATACAATAATTTAAGTACAAACAGACAAACTGATAAGTGGATGTATGAATAAATATACTTGTGTAATTAAATGGATATAATTAACAGACAGAGGAAATAAGAGAATTATGGTGAACGTAAAAGCAATTATGAAGAGGAATGCAGAGGATCAGAGTATGAAGTGCGAAGATTGTCTTGAGGGAGGGACCCGTCATCGACAGAACAATGATGAGTAATGCTAAGATTAGGGTAAAAATTTACAAGACGTGGTGTGAACAATGCTAAGATTAGGGTAATATCTTACGTGCGGTGGTGTGAACTCATCAAGCTGCTCACATCCCTGTAGGATGATCTTGTCTCTCCCAGCCTCCGAGTTCCATCTGCTCCAAGCATATGCAAAGTGTGATGCTGTCAGTGCCATCTGACGATAAGTAGCAAACTCATTGTCCAAGTCCTGTTTTGTAGATGAAGGTTTAAACTTTAAAAAATTATAATCGAAAATATAATATATCAGGGATTTAATGAGGAATTGTTCATTAAAGTTATACTATCTATGATAGTAAAAGAAATAATGAGAACTTGGTAAAACCATGGTAAAACAAGGATTTCCTCAAAAATAAGTATCAACTAACAATGAAACACAAATTCTACTAGTTGTTTGCCGAGTTTTTTCACTACACTATTCTTACATTAATACATGTATAAAAATTGGATTGGCAAGGTATTATTTATAAATAAATAAATATTTTTGTAAGAGGACTATGATGTAATTGAGCTTTTGCAAATAAAAATAATCGCTTTGCTAATTTTAAGTAAATGCTGCCATGACCAACCTTTTCCTGAATACTGACGTATTTCTTAGAATCTGACTCCGGAAAAAGGTTAATACCAACATTGAACAGAGTCTGTATAATAAAAACAGAAATGCATGTATTAGATAAGTAGAACCTTGATTTTACGTACGGTACGAGACCGGAGGACGTACGTTAATTGGATGATTCGTAAAATTAATGTTGGGTTGAATTTGTGGTATCTTTGACCTAATACGCACGTAACACTCAAGAAACATGTTAATGAACAATGCTTATTATGTTTATTAGTATTTTCATCGCTTTACAATGTGTTCAAATAAAGCCATGTGTTACTGTACTATATTAATTCATCACTTTATATATTTTAAATAACTAAAGAACATGAAAATTTTGTAAGACTACCTATACGACCAGAGGTTTATTTATGAATTTGAGTAGCAGGAGAAATTTGAAAGTAACAGGAGAGTAAATTGATATAGGCCGGGGATATAGATGGGGGGGCCACCTAGGCCCCCATCGGGGTCCAGGGGCAGAGCCCTGGTCGGGGGTCAAGGGGCGAAGCGCCATTGCGCTCCAGGGTTTTACAGTTTTTTAAGCCCATTTGATGGCATTTCTCTACATCAATTCTCCATACAAAAGGGAACTTGGGAATGTCCCGTCACACCTAAACAACAGAGCTGCGGATTTGTTTGGGCATGCTGATACAAGCTAAAGCATGTGCACTGCACTGGGTGAGCCAACCAATTAGCGTTTGGCAAAATTATGCCTCTACCCGCTTAATAAACTTTGTATAGAAAATTTGATCAGACAAGTTATTCACTAAGCCAAATGAGAAAGACATTATTTTGAGCACCGACGGTAGTTTGTTCATCTCACTCAGTCAACATGGTTTTAGGCAAAAAGTATATAAAAGAAGAGAGTCCACTGCTATTCTTAATACACATGAGTCAGAGTGACGCCCGATCCGCTGTATGGGGAAAACGTCCCTAGCGTCTGTTAAGGATGCATGAGTTGCGCCGAGTGATGCCAGCATATAAATACAGTGATTTAAGACCTGTATTTGAAAAAGAGTGCATAAAGTCAAATTATTATATCCGTTTTTCAACGAAATATAAAGGCAAGACTTTATAAGAATAATATTATTGGAAAATATGCTATGTATTGTGGGTTTTTGAAAGTTTACTTTGAATCACAATAGTATTTTAAATTTGATAAAAGTAAAAGCCTGATGGGAGTATATAAGAAAAGTAATATTTATTAAATAGGCCTCACTATACTAGAAGATGACTATTCATTATAAACAACCATCCATCCATGCATTGGCATTCGATATATGTGATTCTTATTAATTGAGAACATATATTTAATGATGTGTTTGCTTTGACTATGACATGTTCCCCAGCCCTTCCTCAGTATGGTATGTAAATATAACGTTTTCTCTTCAGTCAAACAAATTAACGTATAAAACAGTAGTAAAAAAATAGTCGGAAACACCAAAGTAACTTTCAAAATACTGTACTTTATTTAGTGTTTTTCCACACGAACTTCAAATATTTTCACAAGTAAATGAGAGTTAGGTAATGATGAGGAAAACCTCCATTTTGATATACCTTAAAATCCCGTATTTATGATGATAAATGAGAAGAAAAAAATCATCCATCCATGGACCTATTAATAAGATCCATCCAACTGTTAGTGACCCAGGCACTGTCTGTGACAAAGTATTAGCACCCACATTATAATCAGGGGCGGATCCAGGATTTGAAAGAGGTGGTTGAAAATGGAAAATTTATAATTCCTAGGCCGGAAATGGGGGGGTGAGGGCCCCCTCCCGCCGGACAGAGCTCGTCAGGCAGTCAGACCATAAAACATATAAAAATAAGTGCACACCAAGCCAACACATGTCTGTCACAGTCTGAGAGTGCCATTTTCGGCCATCCAGAGGTTGATATTCTTTAAAACAAATCTCATTTGGGAGGGGGAACCTCCTCTCAACCCTTTCCTCATATCCTAGAGCCGCCACTGTTGCTGAGACAGATTTGGCTTGGCGTAGGCAGTAGGCCCTACATACTGGGATGGGAAAACTAGGCTTATTTTTTTTTTTGACCCGACTACCGACAAGCTTTGGTCGATGGGTGGGCTTGACCAAACAGATGAGGGGACCTTTACCCCCTCCCCAACCCCTCCCCCACACTGGCGCCTCCCCTGGTTCAAAGCACAACTCCGGTTACCGTTAAAATTTAATCGGGCGAGGAAATCCACTCAAGCCCTTTATCCACAACAGTTTGTAGAGGGCGTTTTGTGGTCGAGCGGAATGCTTTTTCAGTCTGAGTGACTCTCTTCTGTTATATACTCTTTGTTTTAGGTTATTATGAATTAATTAAACACAACCAACACAGCTGTTGAATGCATTAATACTTTGCATATGCTTGTTTATTGTTATAGTTTACATTATGGTGGCCCTGAGAAGGGTCATTTGTTTTGAGTATTTTGGGGTTGTTGATGACATCATCGTCTGTACAAGGCATACGTAAAACTGAGGGTTCGTTTATTAAACAGAGGTATGTAAAAACGAGGTCCTACTGTATGTGAAAATAATCATGAATGAATATGTATTTGAGGCAATATGAATCTACTTATTAATCGATAGACTTAATATAATCTTCATAAATAATAGGGACAAGACCAAACTTTATATTTGAAAAGACAGCTTTTTGATAAGTATTGAAAGACAGTCAATTGCGAAAGGCAATCTCAATTGATAAAGGTTGATGTTAACCCTCTGGATACCGTATTCTTTTGTAGTGCAAACCCTTGAATACCGGATTCTTTTGCAGTGTAACAAGGTTTTTTGCTTTTTTTGAGTATATGTCATTCTGGTGGATTTTTGGGAACTTTCTGTAAATTATACAGAAAAATGTTTCTAAAAACAAAGAAAGCTTATAGAATAAGCTTTTATTTGATGTATAATTTATATTTTGGGAATTTTTTTTCATAATATAATATAATATAATANGCTGTGTACACATCTTGTGCGGCCATTTCGAAAAATTTTTGAAATTAATAACGATTTCAAATTGATATTTCTAAAAATTTTTATATAAGCGCATGTGAGTTCTTCACAGATTTCGGAAAACAAAAGCTTCACGCATGCGTGTTCAAAATTTCTGACGTATTGGAGCTAAAATAAAAACAGAAGAGCGATTTGAAAACCACCTATTTTTTAGTCACGAAATTTCGATTGCAGTCGAAATTGGGAATTATCGGTTTGAGGTCAATTTCGACTGCAGTCGAAGACGGTATCTAGAGGGTTAAAGTAGTGTACTGATAAGACAGTCTGTGAAAAGCAATCTCAATTGATATGAATTGTACAAAGAAGTGAGCAATATTGATGCTATGTCTTCGACTCTGACATTCTCAAACATTTTGGGTGCTAGTGCGAAATTAGAAATTTCAACAAATGTAAGACTTTGCCAGAGCCAGTCACAATGGTACAAGATTATTATTAACTAATAGGATTTATTTATGCCCATTTCTTTGTTTAAAATGGAATAACCGAGAATGGCGTGCATTACGAACAATACAGTACCTTTATAAGTTGCTGAGGTGCCATCCACTTGTTCTGCACAGATTCCAATTCTCGATTTGGTTCCGAGTCTTGTGTTTGGCGGAAACAGCAAAATTCTCCCTTAAAAAAAAAAAAAAAGAATAGATTGAAATTTTTCTTTCTTAAGGCATAAAGGGCACCATCATAAGGAACATCATTTCCACCAACTGCAACCACAAGCACATATGATCATTGCTTCCAGGTTCTTCCTTGAACTGCCAGAGCAGGAATTTGTGTCCACATGACTACTGCCAGCTAGTTTACATGCCATACAAATGTTCATCTTGGTGTCCTCATGACTACTGCCAGCTAGTTTACTTGCCATACAAATGTGCATCTTGGTGTCCTGAGCAAACCCTCTCTGAAGTGTCCTCAAGTTCCAGCAGCAAATGTAGCAATCATTTTTTTAAATAAACAAACATCTTTGTGATGGGATTGCCACTTTGAAGAGTGATTTAGTTCTCTGTTTGGCACATCCTTAGCCCTAGTGCCTAAAGCTGTATAAAAAAAAAAAACCCCAAAAAACAGCTGTACACCCTTCTCTACTACAATATATCGTACATTTCAAATTTCATTTTTTGTAAGAAAAATCTAGTTTTCGTATACATATGTTAGAATGATCATAAATACAATACGAAATAGGAATTTAACTCAAATGTCGTCATTCCCAACATGAAAAAATACAAAATAAGACCCAAATAAAGTTTTGTGTTGATGGCCAAAAATACACAGATAATTTTGCTATAGGTCTATTTGGTGAAGGAATGTAGTAGGAATGTAGTATGTCTGATTGACATTTTGACAAACAAATATAGACATAGGTGTATTGCCTCCAGGGAGAGATCTGACACAGAAATTTAGAAAGAGCTGTGCATTTCACTCGAGAAATGCACAGCATTTCAGTATATCAAATTTTAAATTGTATTTTTTAAAAAGGAGGGGGTTAAAAAAATAAAGAAGAATGGGACTGGTTTGCATACAAGGTACAATAGATGTCTTGCCTACCTTGGAGGTTCAACTGTTTAAAAATCAGAGACAGAATATGACAATGGATGCGATCACCTGAATTTGCCTAGAAATAAAGTCTTCCCAAAAAAATACTCTATTTCTCATTATTTTTCCATCTCAAACGTAAAAAACTCAATATTTTTATAGAATTGAAAAGACAGTTTGGAAGTCATAAATTAAATGACTTACCCATGCAATGAATAGAAATCCTAAAAAAAGCAGAGGTAATGATCAAAGGAAGCAACGCTTATAAACAAATAGAAAGGCACTATTAATAGAGGTCTGCGCTAAAAAAAAAATTTTCTACTATTCACAGATAAATATAAGTTGGTGCACTCTTGTGTACAGTTAATGTGTTCACCTACCTTGATTTCGATCTCCACCTCAATAATGGCTGCAATGATTATGAGTTTTGCATGATTAAGTTCAATTGGATGTATTTCCCACTTTTGGAATGGCATATTGATATGTCTATCCTGAATACATGCAAACGGTCCGCTATTTATAGTCTTGAATGATAAAACCCTCGTCTCTGTAATCAAAACATATCGTTACCAATTAGTTTGTATGAAATTAAAATCTAGAAACAACTGGTCATGTTCAGTCTACCTTTTGTTTCTTTTATTTTGTAAACCAGCATCAGTTGAAATGCACATACTGAACATACATAACGTTCTCTCAATTCCAATGGTTTGTATTGCAAAAAACTATTGCTATCCCTACACCACACAAATAACTGCTCTCACTTATCCCCTCAAAAAAAGCAACCACACTTTCTAGAGGTAAAAAAAAAAATAGCACTGCATAAAAGGCCTGTTTATACTAGCAACAATAATGACAACAATCTAAAATTGTTCATATAGAAAATAAAAGGAATACTGTAATATAAAACAAGTTTTCACACTAGGATGATTCGATAATGATTTATCGTGTAAATGATAAAAAAAATATTTTCACAAAACAAATCAAATGATGTCATAATCAAGGTAAAGAGTTAAGCGACTTATGAGATGGTCGCTGGCTCTGCAGCCATAACGTTTTCGAATTAGAGCCATTAAAGGAAGTGATAATCATGGCGCTGACTTTCTAAGTAGATCCATTAAGAGTTAAGCTTGGAATGCAAGCGGGATGGAGAATGCAATTATCTAATAGTCCCTGGATCTTTTGTTGATGTTGTCCATATAACATTTTAGTTGTATTTGTAAATGAGTATGATTTGAATATGTCATGCCTGAACGCATAAAAACATTGTGAGGCGGCACGAGTAGTCTCTACTCTAGTGAGTACCATATGGGAAGACGTGCGTGTCAAGTATCACCAAGTAAACTACAGTGGTAGTTAGTTGAACGGTCGTGGATTCCGTTTTGGTTATGCTAGTTGGGCTAGTATTGGTGAACTCCTATAAGATGGTACTGGAGTATGGAACTCGCTAAGCTGTATAGGTCATTCGATGATACTGGTGTAGTGTATAATTACAGTATAATGTTATGCATATCATTAAGGTTTAATACTCGTTATTTATGACAAATGTGAAACATTTATCTTAAGTAGAGGGGTGTTACGAGTATTTTGCCATGTTGGCTTTCCTACGATTTATTATGGATCGATGGCCTTCCATACTTGGCTTATTGCGTATATAACAGTGCAGCAGGTGGAAGTAGCTCTCTTCAGCGTTGGCTACTAGGGCGAAACGTGAAACGTTGGTGTAGCCTGGAAATCGTCTCATTGAGGCTAGTTCTGCTCATTGGAGGGTGAGATTGAACTGACAGACATACCTCGTTGAATGAGATAGCCTGGAATTAGCAACAGATTGAGCTTGGGTGGCCTTGTAGAGCGATTGTGGTACGACGGTAGGAATTGCTTCAACCGATTCAAGCACGTGGGCTTTGGATTGTAAAGCTAAGCCGGTTGGATGTGGTCCAATGTACATCGCTAAAGGACGCGTGGTATGGCAGCGACGCATACACAAGCCAAGCCAGTAGTCAGTCAAGGACTTGATAATATATCCTTAATGCTTTATGTTATGCTGTATGTCTATACGTTAGATGTACTTAAGAATTATTACTTTATAATTTATATGCAAAATTGTAGTAGCATTGCATGCCTGTAGGTAAAGTGTAGTATTCTTGACCCCATACATCCATACATTTGATGCTTATACATTCGAGAAACCCAAGTCTCAATGTAGTATTGATCTTGATGCTGTGCATCCACACGTTAGATGCTCATTTGTTTGAGAAATTAAACCTTAATATGGTAACTATTACCTCGTATTGTATCTTTATTGTCATATACCCACAAAGTGCATAGTGGTGGATGATTGATACCTGATCCTTTATATCGGATCCTAACTAACTTGTAACAAATACATAAATATATAAATAAATATATACAAATAAATAAATATATAAATAAATATATAAATGAATATATGAATAATTACAGTATATACAAATA